CAAGAGGTTTGGCACCACTGGGGTGTGTGTAGGATATTGAAGTCCCAATACTGTGCCAGAGAAATGGGTAATTACTGCAAGATCTGGATCAGAATAGGAAGGAGCCAAAAGATTTTGTACATTAGTGTCAAACATGACACTCAAGAAGGAGGATGGATACCTTTTCCTTCAGATCTCAGGTCACGGTTTGCATGTTTGAAGCCATGATGCCAGGCCCGTTCCATCACCAGATGGCCAGCCAGGTGATCTCTGCTGCTCCTCTGGGCCATGGCAATCGCTGAGGGCCTCATGTCATGTCCTCTGGGATGCTGTATATGCTTTCAGTAGGTCATGCATTAGACCTGTGTGGTTTTGCTTCTCCCTGGTCAGGATTCATGGGTCTAGGAATTGGAGTGGAAATGGGAGTGACAGACTCACTCTTATCCCCAGTAAGCCACCAACAAAATGTTCCCTTCTCATCCCTGGCATTCTGTGCTCTGCTTAACTGTGCCCCACTGCTGGTTAAGAGTGTGCCATGGCCCTTCCTGGCTCCTCCTTGCAGTGGGGCACTGGGAAAGTAGGGGACACTGGCTGCCGTGATTCATGGCGACTACCAAGAGGGAATTGGTTTTCTACTACCCATCTGGGGTAAGCAGGTGTGTGTATGGATTCAGGAGATCCCCTAATATACCTGGGGCCGTGATTACAGTCATAAATTCACCACAAGCCAATTCGGCAGGTCTGATAATGGACAGATCTTCCAGAGTGAAGGTTTGGTGATCCCAACTGGCAGGAATGATGACAAGCTCAGGTATCTGCTGACGGCAAGGGCATATGGAGTGGCCAGTGAAGAAGGTAATTACAGACACCACAGTAACCACAATGTAGTAGCAGAAATGAGCCTGATGCAAGGAGCAAGTGTTTTTTTCCTTATGGTGACATGAATATGTTAGGATATATATTAATAATATGCTTTTGTTCTATTCTTCTATCTCATTCCATTATTGTCCAACATCAGATGAGTTAACACAGTTAACTTTATGTCTCAATATAGAAGTCATATGATATCAAATCAGTTGGGTCAAAAATAACTATCACTACAGACCACAGTATATTTTGTATCCTCTTGTGGGGAAAGGCTGAGCATGTTTGTAATTTTTCATTGGATAAAATGCATCATTTAGGTGGAAGCAAGGTTATCAATATTCTATTTAGTTAGGTTAGCTTGGATAGGGTGGATTTCACGTAGATGAGGGGTGGACCATGGGGGCTTATGAAGTGTCGATATTGACGGGCTGGCTGTATCCACAGAATTGTCCACAGAATTGTCCACATTTCTGGGTTGGGTGGGTTTAAAGAGAGAATCTTGTGCAAGATGTGGGGGGTAGATGTAAGGCAGCACTCATTGTGCATCTCCTGTGGTTGTGCATCTTCAGGCCACTTTGTAGAAGGAGGCAACTGTTTCAATGTCCCTCATTTGCTGTCAGGATGGATGTGACTCTCCAGCTGTCTGTCAGAACCCAGAGCACCTAGTGTGTCTGCTTCTTTTTTTTAAATAATAAATTTATTTTTTTATTGGTGTTCAATTTGCCAACATACAGAATAACACCCAGTGCTCGCCCTGTCAAGTGCCCCCCTCAGTGCCCGTCACCCATTCATTGTTTAAAAATACAAGGAATGAACTGATCTGTTGCTGATTTTGACACATGTAACGGGGTTTGGGAGGGGCCAAACCAGAGTTTGTGTGTATACAGTGGCCTCCTCAGTTCCCTGAGAACTGTGTCAGAGATGCCAGCCATCCTGAATCAGGTTCCTGGAAGCAGACTCCAAGATGGAGAAGCGCATGTGTAGGAAATCTGGGAGGGTGGAGGGAGGCCAGACTGGGTTTTAGGAGCAGGGGTCCACAGAGAGTGAGCCATCGGATGAGGCCTCCTTCCTGCAGGGGGCTCTAAAGCCGGGACCTTCCTGGACTTCTGACCCTGAGGCAGGGCCTTGGGATCTTGGGCTCAGGCCATCATTTAATTGAATCTCTCTGAGAAGGGGCAGAAACCTCAGGAGTCATTTTTCTGAAACAAGAGCACTTCCCAGTGAGGAGCAGCCCTGTGACCTGCCAGGGTCTCCAGCAGTGGTGGACAGATGTGTGAGCTCAGAAGAGGGGTAACAACACAGTGAGTAATGTATTGGTCTGCTCAACTCAGAATCCCAGCTGCCATGGTGGCAAGGCTTCTGGAGCTCAGCTGAGCTGGAAATTATGGGCTCGTGTCCTGGTCAGTGGGGTAAAGGAGCAGCCTATGACCACCATGTGGAAATGCAGGGATAAAGACGTCTTTACATGGATGGATGTTTCTTTCTGTTTGCCCTTCCACCTGGTTCCTCCATTTCCAAACATACTCAGGCCCAATTTTGGGAGCCCCAGTCAACCCTGATATACCCTCTCTAGGTGCTGCCTGAAGGGTCAGTGACTAGGGAGGTCTGGGGACTGGAGGGGAGGGTGACACAGACAGGGAAGGGGTTTTTGTCTCCCTTCCCCATCTGCCTGTCACTGTGAGGAGTACCACTACTGTCATAGGACTGACAGTAATAGCCAGCCTCGTCCTTGTCCTAGGCCCCGCTGTTGGTCAGGGTGGTCGTGTACCCTGAGCTGGAGCTGGAGGCAGAAAATCGCTCAGGGTTTCCTGTGTACTATAATAGATGACCAGCATGGGGGCCTGGCCTGGCTCCTGCTGGGACCATGAAACATATTTATCTTCAATGCTGTTTCTTCCACAGGTGATGCTTGCCTTCTGTCCCAGGTTCACCGACACCAAGGGTGGCTGTGTCAGTACATTGGAGGCCATGAAACCTTACTGACAACATAAACAGTAGATCAACACAGATTTTGCATATGTATTTTATATTGTATTGTCTCAAAACAGTAAGTCAAGGAAAAAATTGCTGTGAAGAACATTAGGGATATCAGGATGGATAGCGTTGGTGTGTTGGGCCAAGGCAGCCCTGCCCAGCCATCACCATGTCAGTTTCCAGCAGGATGGGTGCTGTGCTCACCCCAGTTCTCAGGCAAGGACATCAATGGGCACATGGCTGATGTGTGTAAGTACCTGGGCATCGCCACCAACATGTCCTAACATTGTGACAAAACAGATGTGAACTCCACTCAGCTCCTGCACCTGGTATCCCCCTATGCTGAGTGTGGATCATGGAGCCTGTCCTTGCCTTGTGACCAGTGAGAGAGGCCTAGCCAGGGAGTCATGTGCAAATGGAAGACTTTGCCTCTGGCTCTAAGGTCAAATTCCTTGAGTACAGCAAGATCTGTGTGAATAGGGAGGTCACCCACCCACTGTGGAAGGGGATGGAAGCCCAGCCAACAGATGGGGCAGGCTGAGAAATGCCATCAAATGGACCTTTCCCAAGTTCCATATTGACCAGAAGGCTGTGTAGTGACACAGTCTGTGCCATGGAAGGTCCCTGGTAGTAAAGGAAGACTTTCCCTGCTTCCCACAGCTTCACAGGCATGTGCCCCCTCTCTAAGCCACTGCCCCTTGGAGCATTCCATGGATGGCCCTTACTGTCTCCCTGAAACCAGGCCTCTGCTGTGGGGTAGACCTTGGAGAGGCAGGCACCCTCTATGAATGTCCCTCCAGCTGTCTGGCTGCTCAGCACTGCCCCCCCGCCACCCCATGGCTATCTTATGGGAATAAAACATACAGATTTTGGGGAAAACCATGAGGAAGAGAAAATACATTTACTGTTGTGTAAAACCTTTGGAAGTAACTGGACTCAAGCCATTCAAACCTGTGTTGATCAAGGGTCAACTGTGTGCATCTCCTGCTGGTTCTGTCTGGAGAACCCAAAGGAAGGTACCTCATTAGATACACATCTTTGTTCTCGAAAGGGTTTATTTTAGTGGTTGCTTTAGGGTTTACAGAACCAATCTACCTTCCCAAAGTCTACCTTCCAGTGAGTTTATATCTCTTCACATAGAGCATAAAATTACTTTAATGTGTTCGTCTCACCCCACCCCCCAGTAGTGTGCTATGCTGCTCATGTGTGTTATTTTGAGAGTCATCACCAGCCAGGGCATCTTGTTCTTATGTTTGGCTTCACACAGTTATTATCCAGAGACAAGAATATGAGACAGATGTTTCTACGTTTATCCATGGAGTTCTCATAGCTGATGCTTTTCATTCCTTTGTGTGGTGTCACATTGTTCTCTGATAGACTCTTCTTTTGTCCGAGGGGTGTCTGTCACTCTCTGTCACAGGGTCTGTGGGTGACCAATTCTATAAAACTGTGTAGTCTGAAAACTCTATCTTGCTTCACTGTTGAGAGATATTTTCCCTGGAGAACGAATTTCAGGTTGAGAGATTTTTCTCTGTTACAGATACATAATTTAATAGCTTTCTTTTAAAGAGTATTTTGCCAGTGTCTTGCTCCCTGCCGTGCACATAATAAGAAGCTCCGTTACCATATTTATTCATCTGCATGTGACATGCACCTTCTCTCTGGGTGCTTCGTAGATGACTCTTACTGCACGAGGTGCCCCACAACCAACTGGGGCTCTGCCCATTTCTTTCAGGCATTTTGAGATCTTATTTCATTTTGAATAGTTATTATTTCAACATCGTGCAGTTTGCTAATCTTCCCTTTTACACCATCTAATCGTTCTCAGTGTCATCATCGTGAGCATTTTTACTCTCAGATGCTGATTGTGGTTCTCTTCTCCAGAAGTGAGATGTGGCCCAGTTCAAGTGTCATCTACGTCTGCACTGAACATGATCAGTCATGACTCCGCCTCTTTCGAACAGGTGGACTCTCCTGGCCTTGGGAATTTCTGTGTCATCCCTCACACATCTGTGCAGAGCCGACCTGCCAGGCAGGGAGGACACTGAGGCTTGTGGATATCAGACCTGGGGCTTGAGGTCCACCTGCTCATGCTCTATGCACAGGCCTCCAAGGCTGGAGGGGAGGGTGACACAAATGGGGAAGGGGTTTGTGTCTCATTTCCCATCTGTCTGTGTCACTGTGAGCATCAGCGCTACTTTCCCACACCTGGCAGTAATAGTCAGCCGCATTGTTGGTTTGGGCCTCACTGATGGACAGGGTGGCCGTGCTCCCTGAGTTGGTCCCAGAGAATCGCTCAGGGATCCCTGAGGGCCGGCTGTTATCATTATAGATAATCTGCAGGGGGGCTTGGCCCGGCTTCTGCTGGTGCCAATGAACATCTTTCCTTCCAATGCTGTTTCCCCTACAGGTGATGCTGGCCGTCTGTCCCAGGGTCACTGACACTGAGGGTGACTGAGTCAGCACATAGGAGGCCACAGAACCTGCAAGAGAGAAAATGAGAAGTGAGCTTGCAAACTCATGTCTCATCTTAGGAAGTCTCCACCTGCCTGACCTGGATTGGGGTTTAGGGCTACTCTGGGCACAGGACACCCCTTCCCATCAGTCTTAGCCCCTGGGCCACTGGGCTGGTGGATGAGCCTTTGAACAAATAAGAACCCTGAGGCCCTTTCCCTGGCCAGATGCTGTCCCTCAGAGCCTCACATGGAGTCAGTGAGCACAGTGGGGGGATTTCACCCTCCAACCCCTCATCCTGCAGCAGGGTCATGAGCATCCTGCCCCCCACAGGCAGTGGCTGCTGAGCTCAGTGTCAGGACCAGGCTTGGGGCAGTTCTGGGATCTGGGTGGTGTGAGCTTGGGCTCAGCACCTGTGCAGTGAGCCAGGAATCCAAGGAGAAGAAGGGTCCAGGCCATGGTGGAGGTGCCCTGATTTGCTTCCTGAGGGCCTAGGCTGGGCGCATTCCTTCCCAGGCCTCTCTTATCCCCTTACTGGAGGCACCTGCAGGGTATACAAATAATCTGGGGCTCAGAGGCTACTGCTGAGGAGCTTTGTGGTTTCAGAGAAGGCTCAGCCACAGGGGACAGGGAGAGGAAGGTGGGGCCCTGCAGACCTAACAACAGCTCAGGGGATTGGACTTCACCTGCTCATCCTCTACATGGTTCTGAAATCTCCTCTTCAGATATTGTCTGATCCTTGCTTCTGGGTGATCATAGGCTTCTTAGGTCAATGCAGTTTCCACTCTGATCCCTGTTTGTATCCAAATTTGAAGAAAATTCTTATTTTTCTTTCTTTCTTTCTTCTTTTTTCTTTCTTTCTTTCTTTCTTTCTTTCTTTCTTTCTTTCTTTCGTTCTTTCTTTCTTCTTCTTCTTTCTTTCTTTCTTTCTTTCTTCTTTCTTTCTTCTTTCTTTCTTTCTCTTCTTTCCTTCTTCTTTCTTTCTTATTTTTTATCGGTGTTCAATTTGCCAACATATAGAATAACCCCCAGTGCTCATCCCGTCAAGTGCCCCCCTCAGTGCCCGTCACCCAGTCACCCCCACCCCCCGCCCATCTCCCCTTCCACCACCCCTTGTTCGTTTCCTAGAGTTAGGAGTCTTTATGTTCTGTCTCCCTTTCTGACATTTCCCACTCACTTTTTCTCCTTTCCCCTTTATTCACTTTCACTATTATTCATATTCCCCAAATGAATGAGAACATACACTGTTTGTCTTTCTCCGATGGACTTACTTCACTCAGCATAATACCCTCCAGTTCCATCCACGTTGAAGCAAATGGTGGGTGTTTGTCATTTCTAATGGCTGAGGAATATTCCATTGTATACATAGACCACATCTTCTTTTTTTAATTTATTTTTTATTTTTATTTTTTTAAATAATAAATTATTTTTAATTGTGTCAGTTTGCAACATACATAATAACACCCAGTGCTCATCCCAGACCACATCTTCTTTATCCATTCATCTGTTGATGGACACCGAGGCTCCTTCCACAGTTTGGCTATCGTGGACATTGCTGCTATAAACATCAGGGTGCAGGTGTCCCGGCGTTTCACTGCATCTGTATCTTTGGGGTAAATCCCCAGCAGTGCAATTGCTGGGTCGTCGGGCAGATCTATTTTTAACTCTTTGAGAAACCTCCACACAGTTTTCCAGAGTGGCTGCACCAGTTCACATTCCCAACAGTGCAGGAGGGTTCCCCTTTCTCCACATCCTCTCCAGCATTTGTGGTTTCCAGCTTTGTTAATTTTCCCCATTCTCAAAAATTCTTCACTGGCAAGGCATACATGGAATTTTGAAGGAGCCATGGAGATGCTGTATGTGATGTCCCAGGGAGAGCCTCTAGGGCAGGTCATCGATTCTGTGGCTCAGTATCCCCAGTGTGCACTCAGTTCCTGGGAAAGATGCAGTCCTGAGCAAGGTTAGACAGTGACTGGGTTTTAGCAGGAATGTGCTGGGCTGGAGAAGCGTGACATCCTGGACTTGTGCAGAGACACCACGTGCCTCCTGTGTCCCTGAGTGGGGTCCCTCGTGGATGACCTGTCACTTCTTTCCCCAACCCCCTACAGCCTGGCTGAGCTGAGCAGGAACAGGAGAGAGGGGTGCACCTGACAGGGAAGGGAGGAGGGGAGGGAGAGCAGGTCCCAGGTCCCTGGAGAGGCAGATAGAGGAGCAGGTGCTGGCACGGGCATGGCAGCCGCGGTCCCTCCACCAGGTGATAATGACTGCCCAGGCTGAGAGGAGGTGGGATAACCTCAGCCAGAATGTTCCAGGTCCTGAGCTTCTTCCTCTCAGTCTGCCAGCTGCCTACTGGAGACGCTGGCAAGTGGTCAGAGGGCCACCTGGGGACCAGGGAGGCACCACCCAATAACTGTCCTGTTGTTGAGAAACTATGGAGAGAATCCCCAGATGATAATTCTCTAGAGGAAACTTTCCACCATCCTTTAACCTGAAAAATCTCTGGAATGATTATTTCTGGCAAGAGATTCCAATCTAGTACCGACTTTCTTTCTTTCTTTTTTTTTTAAGATTTTATTTATTCATGAGAGACAGAGAGGCAGAGACACAGGCAGAGGGAGAAGCAAGCTCTGTTCAGGGAGCCCAATGTGGGACTCAATTCTGGGTCCCCAGGATCAGGCCCTGGGCTGAAGGCGGCGCTAAACCGCTGAGCCACCCGAGCTGCCCCTAAGACTGACTTTCTAGTTCATCAGGTTAGTAAGTAATTTTTAGAGGGAGGATTCCAATTGTACCTGCCATTCTTTTATGAGTGAGGGGAAAATGATTTTCTGTCCTGTGTCTCTCACTCCCAGGAAGGTGTCCCTCTGAAGAGTCAGAGTGGAAATAGGGGAAGTTTCTGCTCTTCCCTTTTAATAAATTCCTCAACTGTCATTTGAACCTCAAGTAATTGTGTACACATCAACTTCAAAACAACAATTCAAAGAATCATGAAGAGAAATTCCATTTATGTAAAAGTTCTATTCAAGTCTTGGAAGAAGGTCTTTGCCCTAAGCAGGACAGAAGTGCCCCGAATGTAGGCATGGCCACCACGTAGGGTCACCTGGTCATGGGTGTGAGTCCATGTGGGTCAGACCTGAGCTGGTGCAGGTGATGAGCCCTGGGCCCGGGGAGGACAGTGGTGCAGGAGGAAGTCCCCAGGTAGCCCCCAGGTAGTGTCTGCACTTCCTCCACAGATTCTATAAAACCCCAGGGGAGAAGGGCCTGGGGCGGCAGGGATGTGTATCCCTCTCAGGAAGCCCCAGGCAGCCCTGAATGATGTGGGCACCCTTCACCCAAGATTCAGAGGTGACGCAGCCCCTGGGGCCCATCCAGGCCACCTGCACCCAGAGAAGAGGATTCCCGCCAGACCGTGCTGTCTGAGACACCTTTCTCCCCTCCTGAGTGACACGTGGTGACCTCTGCGCCCACATGATGTATGATGTAAAGTCTCTAGAGACAAGAGAGCCAGCTTTGCACTGGATAAGTTTTGAACCTGTCCCCTGAGAGGCCGAGGGGTGAAAAAGGAGGGGAAGGGGGAGGGCAGAGAGCCTGCAAGAGTCTCCTCCCTTCAGGGGTGGGTCTGGGACCAGGGAGGACACCTGATCCTGAGGCCTGACCAGCAGCTGCTCAGAGGGCAGGAGAGAGGGAGAGCAGGTCCACGGAGGAGGGTGTGTGTCCCACCGCCCAACCTTCTGTGTCACCTCCGTCACTGATGGGTGCTCCCATTGCCACAGTAACTGTCACATCAGGGGTCAGCTCTCTCCTGGCCCTCAGTCTGCTCGTCCTCAGTGGGGCCAGGCCCCGTGTTACAGCTTCAGAATCGGGCTTGGATGGTCACTCATGTGTGTACGACCGGCTGGGGGACGGGCTTGGCTACTGCTGGGCAGAGAGGCATGTTCACGCCTGAGCTCATTCCCTGAGCAGAGGATCCTGTGCCCGCCCAGGGTGATGGACACGGAGTGAATGTCAGCCTCGGGTCAGGGGAGGCAGGGCCTGCAAGTGAGAGGGGGCGAGGAGAGAGGGTCTGAGGGAGACAGGGAGGCTCAGTCTGCAGTGACTGTCCCAGCCCTAAGGAGGGAGCCATGTAGACACAGGTGACGACAGGGCCCTGACCCCATGGAGTCTGTTGGGAAGGATAGCTTACCCTGGTGCCTCACACTGTGTCTCCCTGGGGTCTTGTCACCTGTGCTGGGAGCGGTCGCGTACAGGTGAATCTGCTCACAGTGTGGTCCTCAGAGGATCAGTGCCACTGGCTCCACTGGGAGCTCTTCCACACACCCATGCCCTGGCCTCACCCTCCCTCACCTGTTCCACCTGCACCTGCATCCTGGGGCTCCCCCCTCCTCTGGGGACTGTGTGCACACTGAGCCTCACAGGGTGGCGGTCCATGCTCCATGGAAAATCTCACTTCCTCTGCTTATCTCCCTAGGGGCCCCTGGGACAAGGGCCTTAACGTCCTGCTCTGGGCACCTGAGCTTCATTCAGTTCGGAGCCTGTACTGATGTGGGAAGAATGGTTCAAGATTAGTTTCTGTCCGGAGCCTTGGTGACTCAGTGACTGAGTGTCTACCTTTGTCTCAGGGCCTGATCCTGGGGTCTTGGGATCAAGTCCTGCATCCGGCTCCCCGCAGGGAGCCTGCTTCTCACTCTGCTACGCTTCGGCATCTCTCTCTGTGGCTCTCATGAATAAATAAAGAAAATCTTAAAAAAATATAGTCTGTGTCCAGCTACACGAGTGTGTTCTGTGTTTGGGTGATGCCCCCGGGAACACTACCTGCCTGGCTATGGGGGTACCTAGTGTACCCAGTCTCCTTTCAGCTCCTCCTGGGATGAGTCAGGATAAGAGAGGGCACTGGCTGGGGTGAGTTGTGCTGTCGCGGGGGAACTGGTGTCTCTGCACACCTGGGGCAGGCAAGGGTATGTATGAATTCAGGGGATCCCGGGGGCTCCTGGTTTTGTGATAAAGTCATGACTGTACCACATTCCAGTTCAGCAGGTCCGATAATGGACCAGAATTCCCCAAGGAAGCTGTAGTCCCACCCAGTGGCTGGGATGATCACTAGCTCAGGTGTTTTCTGAAGGAAGGTGCTCGTGGGGTTCGTGGTGAGGAGAGTAGTTACAGACCCCCTCTGAGCACAGGGTAGTGGCTGAAATGAGCAGGACAGAAGGATCCAGTGTTTCTCCTTCTGTGGCAGGAATGCACCTGGCTACATTGTCATCAGATGTTTCTGTTTCCTCCACCTGTGTCAGCCCATCAGCACCTAACATCAGGTGTGTTCACAGGAGCAAACTTTCTCAGTATCGATGTTGAGGATGACAAATCCGGTGAGGCAGAGATCAATATCCCTAGCAGAGAGAAGCGTAGCTTGTATCCTCCTATGGGAGAAAGAACTTATGTGTGGTTGTGTCGGGACAGTTGCACATTATCTGGTGGAAACAAGGACCCGATATTCCCTTTATTTGCAGACTGTGGTTTGTGTGGATCTGAGTGGATCTCCTGTGGACAAGGGGGACTCGGTGGCTTCTTACGTGTTGCACTGACAGACTGAACTCATTTCATACCATTGTTTTCTGTCCATATTTCTGGGTCAGGTGGGTGTAGAGAGATATTCTTGTGCAGGATGTGGGGTAGACCTGTGGCCGCACCCATTGTGTGTCTCCTGTCCTTGCATATCTTCCAGCCATTCTGTAGGATGAGGCCACTGTCCCGATTCTCCCCCAATCACCATCAGGGTGGATGTGACTCTCCAACTGTCTGTCACAACCTAGAGCACCTGGAGCGTCTGGTCCTTTTCTCACTCTATAAAATAGATGAAAAGATCTCATCTCCAGGGAGGTTGGACATGCACACTGGGGATTGGGGGAGAGAACCTGAGAGATCATGGGTATATCCAGGGGCCTTCTCTGTTCCCTGAGGACTGTGGTAGTGATGCCAGCCACCCCAGAATGGGTTCCTGGAGGCAGACTCTGAGATGGAGAAGTGCCTGTGTAAAAAATCTGGAAGGAGAAGGCATATCAGCTTGGGCAGAAGGAGAGCAACCCACAGGGATGAGCCATCAGATGAGGCCTCCTTCCTGCAAAGTAGCTCATCCCTGGGACCTCTTAGGACCTGGGAGCATGAGGCAGGGCCAGAATCCAGGCAAGAGGACATCATTTCATCTGAGGCTCTCTGAGAAGGGGACTGAGCCTGGGGCAGCAGATCTCAGGGCCAACAGCACTTCCCCACGAGTTGCACCCGTGTGAGCTGTCAGGGGCTCCAGGCAGTGGGGGGCCATGTGAGCCAGAAGAGAGGTGTGGGTGACCCTTGATGTCTCCTGCTCCTGATAGGTCCACTCAGGGAGGGAAGGCTCCACCAAGGTCCCCAGGGCGTCAGGAGCTCAGCAGTTGAAACACTGGAGCGCTCAGCCTGGTCATTTGGAAGAGCATTACCCCAAGATGGCGATGGAAATGCAGGCGCATGGCCCCTGGCCCAGGTCCCCCTGTGTCTTTTTTTCCCCAGCCCCTCAGGCCCCTGTTCACAGCCAGGGCCAGGGAACCAGGGAAACTTAGTGCTGTGAGCTGTAAATACTCTCCTGAACCTCCAGGTGCAGACCTGCTGAGGACTGGGTAGGAGGGAGGGTCTGGGGACCTCAGATGAGGGGGCCTGGGGCAGACCCGCTCCAGCCTGTGCACAGCCTCCAGGGTGGAGGGGAGGGTGACACAGATGGGAGAAAGGGTTTGTGTCTCACTTCCCCATCTGCCTGTGTCGCTGTGAGCCTTAGTGCCACTGTCCCACACCTGGCAGTAATAGCCTCGTCCTCGGCCAGGGCCCCGCTGATGGTCAGGGTGGCCGTGTTCCCCGAGTTGGCGCCGGAGAATCTCTCAGGGATCCCTGTCAGCCTGTAGCTATCACCATAGATAATCAGCACGGGGGCCTGGCCCGGCTTCTGCTGGTACCATTGAACACTTTTACTTCCAATGCTGTCTCCCCCACAGGTGATGTGGGCCAGCTGCCTCAGGGTCACAGTCACTGATGACGGCTGTGTCAGCACATAGGAGGCCACAGAACCTGCAAGAGAGAAAAGGAGAGGTGGGTTCCCAGCTCTAGGTCTCAATTCAAAGAGAACCCCACGTGCCTGACCTCAGGCCCAACAAGTCTCTGGGGGGTCTGTTTCTACCTCCCCTAATCTCACCCCTGGTACCGTGGGTATAGCTGGTGGATGGAGCCTTTGAACAAAGGAGACAACATTAATTTTCTCTGGGTCGGGTCAGCCCCTCAGGCTCTCACAGAGTGTGTGAGCAAGTGGTAAGACTCCACTCCTCCAGCCTTTTCATTTGGGTCCTACCCTCTCCAGGCACCCTGTTCTGGACTCAGGGTCAGTGTTGGGCTGGTCTCAGAACCTTGCTGCTGTCCTGAGAATGACCAGGGCTCAGTACCTGTGCAGAGAGCCAGGAGGCTGAGGAGGAGGGGGTTCCAGGCCATGGTGGAGGCGCCCTGATTCTGCTCCCCAGGTCCCAGCCTGGGCAGAGGTTCCCCCCAGGCCTCTCTTATCCCCTGGCTGGAGACACCTGCTGGTCATGCAAATCAGCCAGGGCTCAGGGGCTCCTCCTGAAGAGCTTGTGCTTTGAGAGCAGGGCTGAGACCCAAGGGACAAGGAAGTGGATGGGAAGCCCCTTGCAGACCCAGACTCAGACCCAGGGACTGTGCTTTAACCTCTGTGTCTAATGAGGTCTGGTTTCTTCCCTTAGATTCTGTAGCCTTTGCACCTGGAGACACGAGGAGCCTGAGGGCAGTGCAGTGTCCTACCCAGATCCCTGTTTGTGAGCATCAAGCCTCAACAAAATTCTCTCTTGCTAAGGGCACATGGAGGTCTTGTGAGCCCTGTAGGTGTTGTAGCTTTCTGACTATGCAGGTTGTCCTAGGGCAGGACATAGATGCTGTGCCTCAGTGTCCCTAGGGTGCACTCAGTGCCAGAGACAGATCCAGACCTTCAGTTAAGTCTGGCAGTGACTGATGTAGCAGGAAGGGGGTGGCAGGAGAGCTGTGAAGTCCTGGAGCTGGGCTAGTGACAGAGGCAAATCTATGAAACCCCTGAGTCTGAGAGACACAGGTCAGAACTCACTTCAGTGTCCAAGGTTATACTGCAGAAATCCTGCACCTTTCCCCGCAGGTCTCAGGGCCCAGTGACTCAGCCCCCCTCTTGTTAGAACCCCTCATACCAGGCTCACCCCCTGTGCAGGTGGCTTCACCAGGTCATCTCTGCTGCCCCCTGATGGCCGCTCCGCACTGGCTGCTGGAGGCCCAGGGAAGTCCCTGGTCCAGGTGGAGATGGAGAGCCCACTGCTCACATCCTGGTTCCCTGCTCTTGCCCTGCTGACCCAGGGCAGAAGTTACTCTTCTCTTCATGGACCCTGACAGCCCCTCGACCAGGCAGGCGGTGATCAGATTCTCCCTGGACATTGGTATAAGCTCAGCTGAGGAGGTGACAGCCCCTGGGGCCTCAGAGCACACACTTCTGGGTTGTTGGGCGGTCATGGGTGGGGTGCAGGACTGGGTGCCTGGGGGACATAGGACACAGAGACTGCCTCTTACTGGTGCAGACTCAGGGTGCTGGGCCCAAATAGTGTGGTGGTGGCTCCTGCTCAACATATAGGGCTCTGAGAACACTCTGTGAACATTCATTCAGCCCCACTTTGGTCTGGGAGACATTCTGTCCTGGGGATCAGCGTGAAGGAGACAGAGGCCCTGCCTCATAGATTTATGCTGTGAGTGGGGGAGCAGGGTGGACACCCTTGCTCTGGTGACACAGCACACAGTCTCTACCAGCTTCTCCCCTATATTCATACAATATCCAAACCATTGCCACGTTGAGATTCCTCTGGGTCAGGATCGACCCTGTGGTGCAGCACTTGCCCAAAGAAGTGTCTTTGTCTGGGGTCCTTCCTGTGGACATTGCCTCCTTTGAGGGAAAGAATGAGACTAGACAAATGGATCTGAGTGGATCTCCTGTGGACAAGGGGGACTCGGTGGCTTCTTATGTGTTGCATTGACAGACTGAACTCATTTCACATCATTGTTTTCTGTCCATATTTCTGGGTCAGGTGTGTGTAAAGAGATATTTTTGTGCAGGATGTGGGGTAGACCTGTGGCCACACCCATTGTGTGTCTCCTGTGGTGGCATATCTTCTGGCCATTCTGTAGGATGAGGACACTGTCCCCATCCACCCCAAATTACCGTCAGGGGGGATGTGACTCTCCAACTGTCTGTCAGAACCCAGAGCACCTGGTGTGTCTGGTCCTTTTCTCACTGTATAAAAATAGTTGAAATGATCTCATCTCCAGGGAGGTTGGACATGCACACTGGGGATTGGGGGAGAGAACCCGAGAGGTCATGGGTATATCAGGGGCCTTCTCTGTTCCCTGAGGACTGTGGTAGTGATGCCAGCCACCCCAGAATGGGTTCCTGGAGGCAGACTCTGAGATGGAGAAGTGCCTGTGTAAAAAATCTGGAAGGAGAAGGGATATCAGCTATGGCAGAAGGAGAGCAACCCACAGAGATGAGCCTTCAGATGAGGCCTCCTTCCTGCAGAGAGCTCTATCCCTGGGACATCTCAGGACCTGGGAGCATGAGGCAGGACAGGGATCCAGGCATCAGGACATCATTCTTCTCAGGCTCTCTGAGAAGGGACAGATCGGGGGGCAGCAGATCTCAGGGCCAACAGCACTTCCCCACAAGTTGCAACCCTGTGAGCTGTCAGGGGCTCCAGGTAGCAGTGGGGGGCTTGTGAGTCTTGAAGAGCAGTGTGGGTGACTCCCGTGTCTACTGTCCCCATCTGTTCCATGCAGGTGGAGGGGTCTTCACTTATGGCCTAGGGTTTTAGCAGCTCAGCTGTTCTGGGAAATTTGGACACTGATCCTGGTCAGTTGTGTGAACAGTGGCTCATAGCACTCGGAGAATGTAGAGATAATGCGCACTAGAGAAAAGGCTCCCCATGTCTTTCCCCACCCAGGCCCTAGATTTCCAGTTCATACCCAGGCCCAGAGACCAGGGCAACTGAGTCTGTCAGCACAAATGCCCCATTGTCCATCCCTGTGCAGAGCTCCTGGTAAGCAGGGGGTGGGGGTGGAGGCCAGGGAACTTCACATATGAGGGCCTGGGCCAGATTGCTCCCTGCTTGTCCATGGGCCTCCTGTCACGGGAGGAGTGGATGACTCAGACGGAGAAGGGGATTTGTCTCACTTTCCCATCTGCCTGTGTCACTGTGAGCATTTCCCCTCTGTCATATGACTGGCAGTAATAGTCAGCCTCATCCTCCGCCCGGGCCCCACTGATGGTCAGGGTGGCCGTGTTGCCCGAGTTGGAGCCAGAGAACCGGTCAGGGATCCCAGAAGCTCGCTCATTATTATTTTTATTGATTAGGAGCACAGGGGCTTGGCTTGGCTTCTGCTGGTACCAATATGCATATCTTTTCCCTAAGACATGTCCGGAGCAGGTGATTGTTGCCATCTGTCCCAGGGCCACCAACACGGAGGGAGGCTGATTCAGCCCAGTGGAGGCCCTGTAGACTGAAAGACAGGAGAGGAGGGCTTGGTGTGAGGCCCAGGGGCTTATCCTAGGGACCCAGTAGTGAGGTTGTGCTGAGGCTGAGCTCAGGGTTCAGGTCAGACCCATCTCCATCCTGTGGGAGCCGAGGGGCTGGGCAGGCCCAGGGACAGCACCTGTGCAGAGGGTGAGGATGGGGAGCAGGAAAGGGGTCCAGGCCATGGTGGGCGTGCCCAGAGCTCTGCTTCCTGAGACCCAGTGCAGGGCAGGCTCACCCAGGCTTCTTTTACTCCCTCCAGGCCCAAGAGGCAGTGATCCTTAGTAGTTATGCAAATGTAATCTTCCGTGGGGCTCTAACTGGGTTAGTCACTTGGGAGGCAGAACAGGTGACTGAGAAGGATAGCAGAGTCCCCAGCTGCCTCCACGAAGCTTTCTGGTCCAAAAGGCACCTTTGAGGGGCACTTAGGTGGCTGAGTTGGTTAAACATCTGCCTTCTGGTAGGGTCTTGGGCTCAAGTCCTGCATTGGGCTCCCTGCTTAGCAGGGTCTTCTCCCTCTCCCTCTGCCCTTCCCCCTACTTGTTCTCTCTCTTAAATAAATAAATCTTTTTCTTTAAAAAAAATGAAAAGCACCCGTTGGTTTCCAATTTCTGGCATCACAGTCAAATTCCTGGAGTCTGACCTTATGACTCTGTAGGAAGCTGTTGCCTGAGTGCTGTGCTGGGCTATCTCAGGGCCCTGCAGGAGTCTGTCCGTGGGGTGATGTGGGTCGGCTGAGAGATGCAGAAAACTCCTGATTCAGGGAAATGGGGGTCCTGGGGACTCAATACTCACCTCCTCCTGCCTCTCACGTCCCATATGCGTCCCCCACAGTCCCTGTGGAACCAAGCTTAGCCTGTCATTACAATGGGAAACCCACTGCTTCTGAGGTTCCTTCATCTCATCTACTGGGGAGTTTACGTGTTCACCAATGCCCAGATGTTGGAGATTCCTCCCAAGTCTAACCTGCAGACACGTGCTGCTTTCATCCCTACAACAGCCCTCATCCCACAAGAGACCAGAATTTGGCCATCCTAATTTTTTCATCAGTGTTCCATGAAACAAGTGAAGGGCATGAAGAGCTACTGGGAGCAGTCTTTAGACTTCCTGATCTTTGTGTGGGTCCCCAAGGTCACACATTCCCACAGGTGTGAGCTGTGGGGCTGAGACAATGTCCCTGCAGGGAGCAGATCCTGTCACTGCACAGGGACAGCCCAGTGACAGGGCTGTGGCCTGAGCTAGGAGAACGCACCTCACTCTGGAGACAGTCTCACAGGGAGGCTGCTGACACCCCTTCCAGGGACCAAGGTCTCCCTGTTCCCAACTCTCCCTCCCTCGGCTGTTCCTGAGCAAGAAGCTGCAGCTCAGGGTCAGCGTCAGCCTGGAAGAGGGATGAGGAGGCTGACAGTGAGTCATTGGGGTGTCTGGATGTGCCCAGTACAGAGGTTAAGTGCCCAGGATCACTGGTGGATGGTGGGAGGAGCTGCATTTCCTCCTCCTGTGTCAGGACTCCCATCAATACTCTGAATGACGCTGTGTTTCTCAGAATAAGGTCTCTGCAGCCTGAGGAGAGAGGAAAGATCATCCCAACAGTCCCTGAGGACTGATCCTGACCCCTGCTGACTTGAGGCCTGGTGTTACTAGGAATCTCCCCCTAGGCAGCCCCAGCCTCTGTCCTGCTGCTCATGATGCAGCTCTGCTGTCCCCTGCTGGTGGAGGAGGACCCTGACCAGGAGCTTCCCTCCTGCTGGTCACCCCACAGCCCCTGTCCTATGAGAAGAGATGTGTGCCAGGGTTTCCAAACTCCTACAGGCAGCAGCCCCACTGTGCCCAGCCCAGCACAGACAGGTCCTATACATGCTGCAGGAATTTCAAGGCATTATGGTCTGAGAATATGCAGGG